CAAACCACCAGTCAATCAGGCTTAAAACCTTGGTGTTATCTTCAATTCCTCATTCCATTTTACCCCACACCCATATCCAATCTGGTGTTAAATCCTATTAATCATACTTTACATCTCTTGTATACTCCCCTATCTCTCCTCTGATTCTGCCACTCTTCAGGAATAGGCCTTCATTACCTCAAAACTGAATTTTGACAATAGCCTTTTGGTTGGTCTCCTTGTTTCAAATCCATCTTCGACTCAATCACCAAAGTGATTTTGGTGACTACGTCACCTTTGGTCCCATACCCTCCCCGCTCAATAATCTCCAGTGGTTCCAGGATTAAATATAAATACAAAATTCTCTTAGCATTTAAAGCCCTTTATAATGTGGCTCCTTCCTACCTTTCTAGTCATCTTACACTTTGCTCCTTTCCTATATTCTATGATTGTAGATTGTAGCCAGATTGTAAGAGGTTAAGAAGAGAATAAGAGGAGAAAAAGTGGAAGCACCTACTATAGACAGTCTTTTTGAGGAGATAAACTATGAAGGGCAAAATACAGGATGATAGCTAATGGGGAGAGAAGGATAAAGTCAGAGTTTGTTTTTTTTCCAGGATGGAAGAGACATGAACATGTCTACAGTAAGCTGTAGGAAATAAGGCAGTAGACGAGGAGAGATTGAAAATAAGTGAAAGAGTGCATCAACACAGCAGCATGTATTTCAGAAGGACTTTTCCCCTTTAAACCTATTGTTTTGCAAATATAGGAAAAGCAACAATTTGGCTCCTAGGACTGGGAGGCATAAGACAAAAGCCACCAATCCCTTTTTCAGTCTCTTCCCCTTCCCCTTTGGCCCCTGTAATTTACATGGACCCATGTAATTTACCCAGGAATCATGGAAAAGGAAAGAAATTGAAAGGGATTTATTTCACTTTTAGTTAAATAAGAGTTTAAACTGAAAGAACATGATCAGCAAAAGAAACAGAGTTCAAAAGACAAAGTGCATGAGGTCTTTTCTTTCTATCTAACTAGCTGGGTCCAACAGGGTGGAGGTCTGTCTGTAGGTCATAAAGTCAGTAGCCTGAGACTGAGCTTTTCAAAGTTGAAATCTTGCCAAATGCTCTTTCTGTTCAACAAATAAGCCACACCTGGCAGTTAGGAGCAAGAGCAGCTCTGTAGCATGAAAAGTCTGGGTTGCTCTGGTTATACATGTTTCTGCATGTGTCATTGTACTAACTTGTGGAAGAGTATAGTCCTGTGCGTTTTGGGGAGAGGATCTCTATTGTCACTTAGTCTGATGAAATGACGTTTGCTCTGAAATCATGTTACACATTGTTGGGTGCTCACAAGCCATGAGTCTGAGCAGATGCAAACCTACAAAGTGCTTTGAAACTACGATGGCTTTCTGTGGGCTCATATGTGAGGAGAACCAAGGTAATACACAAATAAAATGCAGGTATACATTTAGTTAAGAGATGGCATTGAGTAGGGAATATGAAACTAGCCTTGGAATCAGGACGCCCTGAGTCTTTGACACAGAATAACTGTGTGACCAAAAGCAAGCCATCTAATTGGCCCAGGGAGTGCTGGCTTTGGAGACAGAGGGGGTTTGTTGTTGCTGTTGAGTCCTTTTCAGCTGTGTCCTACACTTTGTGACCCCACTTGAAGTTTTCTTGGCAGAGATACTGGAGTGGTTTGCCATTTCCTTCTCTAGCTCATTTTACAGATAAGGAAATTGAGGTAGAGTTAAGTGATTTGCTTAGGGTCACACAGCTAGTGAATGTCTCAGGCCCGATTTGAACTCAGAAAGATGAGTCTTCTTAATGCTCTATCCATTGTGCCACCTAGCTGCCCCTTGGGGACAGAGGACCTAGGTTCAAATCCTACCTCTGAGAGGTATTACCTCTGTGACTTAGGTGAGTCGATTAACTTTCCTGCTTCAGTTTCTTCATCTATAAAATGAAAGATTTAAACTAAATGAACTCAAATCCTTTCCAGCTCCAGATCTATGTCCCCATGGTCTTAGAGTCACTGAGAACTTTGGAGTTCTGCATATTTGGAGAAAGTAAAGACATTATACATGCATATGTGTGCATATATTTATCTCCACATATATACATATATATGTCTTTACTCTCTCCACATATCATGTTACATATATTCATATGTTGATATATGTGAATATATTTATGTGTTTACATGTATGTGTATATTTTACAGAATTAATTTCTGTTTTATGTTTTTCCATTTGTAGCACTGTTATGCCAGTATCTATAAATGGTTTTATATATATATATGTATACATATATACATACATACATACATACATAATATAGTATTTCAACTACTGAAATTCATATTTAGCTTTTCTTGCATATAAATAAAAGTAGGATTCATTTCAACAAGGGCTAAAGGTCCTGGTATTTATATTGACCTTCTATCTTAATGACATCACATTCCTGTCAGCACTTGCCGCAGTTAGAAAGCAATTAGCCAAAAGATTGTCAATTGTTATATTTTTTCAATCGCCATTCCTCCTTGTTACCGGGAAGATTGACAATTCACAGTCCACTAAAACAGGATTTGTTGCCTGTAGAGACTTAGAAACAGCTGTCAAAAAAATAATCTCTTATGTAAATCTTAACTATTTGTTAAGAACCAATTCAAATGCCATTTCCATTATCCTATTACCTTCCTCTATCCCTCTTCACTACTTTCACATGGGTACTTCTCTCAGACTACCTCTCATTTGCTTTATTTGAGTCTGTCATATCTTCCCTATTAGATTATAGCTCATTAAGAGAGGGCTCCAAAGTATTTCACTCCTCTGGGCCTCAGTTTCCCTTTCTATAAAATAAGGTAGTCAGACCAAATGGTGCCCTTCCAATTTGCTGCTGCACAGTGAGATAGGAGCAACCAAGCTCTGGAGAGGAAAGAGAAATGCTGCTACTTATTGCTGTGGTCTCCACTGGGAGCCTAGGCAAAAGAGTTGAGATCCACTCTGAACTAAGGCTGGACAGGTGAATTCCCTGAAGGTGGAGATGAGACTCAACCTATTTCATATAGAGACTGCACAGACGAGAGGATGGAGTAGTACTGCCCTGGCAATTGTTGTGACAACTGATTGGCGGGTGAGAAGACCTGTTCAGACCCCTGGTTACCATTTCCCTGTTTTAATGCTTTCACTTCTCCATAGACCATGGACAGCAGCATCACCCACCTTTAATACTTTTCAACGACCTGCCAATGCAGGAGTTTTGTGGGATGGTTGTGTGAAGCATTCCAATAGTTTTCTTTGAGTTTTGCTTTCAACAAACGATGTAGCCAAAGAAAATTTGATTGTAACTACAGTTTAAAAGTGAGCCAGAAATTTACCAAGTGTGTTGGGGTTTAACGAACTTGAGTGGGTCGCCATCTAGTGGAAAGAAAAATCAGAAATTCGATTCCCTCGCTTGTTGATGGAAACATGATTCCGTCTTTCTGAAGGCTTAAGGAAGATAGCAGTGGGTGTAGACCAGGTTGCCATAGCTGCTGCGCTTCAGGTTACCTGGCGTAATCATCAGAGGCGTGCTCACAGCTTGCACCTGTGTCGAAGAAACAAAGATTTGTAACAAGAGAGAGCTGTGTGAGGACAGGTCAGTGATGATACGTCGTATTTAAAAAAAAAAAACACCCCAAAACTTTTTAGAAAGAGACAAAAACAAGAAAACACAAGAGCAGAAGAGACACGGGACATGGAAACGTCTGCACCAGATGCTGCTATAACTGAAGAGCCAGAGATTTTTAAAGTTTTTCTTTCAGGATAACTGCAGATTGGGGACTCCCTGAAATATTAAATAGAGTTTTCATAAAAAGAATGAGCGAATGAAAAAATAATCGCAGTTCCTTTCTTGCAGTTGCCAAATTGTAAAAAGAGGGGTTTGGTTCGTGGAACAGAACACGCCCTTACTAAGTGCTCGCTGACTTGAGTAGGATTGATGGAAATCAGTTGAGGTTTCCTGCACCTGCGACGCTACCTGCTTTGGAGAACAGACAGGGAGCATGAGACGCTGGGGAGGGGCCGTGATCATCTCCACTTTACAGGTTTGCCAGAGGGCCCGCAGCTCAGGTCCTCTGACCCTCAGTCGTTCTAGCCTCCTTTCACAAGCTAAAGCATCTGGTGGGACAATCCCGGGAGCGCTCCAGGAGCGGCCAGGTCCGAGAAACCCGCACCTTCTGTAGGGGGCGTGACCTGAATTCCGCGGGAGGGAAACTAGGGAGTGACTTCTGGAAGGGGCGTGGCCTGCACCCGCAGGAGGGAGGAGGGAGCTTGAGTGTGCTCTTAGGGGGCGTGGTTTGAGTCCCTACCGCCCCCCAACACCCCGGTGTGTTTCAGTCGCCCGGAGGTGAGGTTGGGGAATACTTGGAAAGTCTCCGGGAAGGGACGTGGCTTGCGTCTCGCGGCGAGGGGAAGCGCTAGGAGGGCCCTTCGCACGAGCTGTGGTTTCCAACTTGGGGCTGGCAGTAGACCATAATAGGGGAGGGGTGTGGCCTGCATCCGGAGGCGTTAGGGATGGGGGAGCGACAGAGGCGAGGGGGCGGGGCTTGAGTCCTGTGGGACAGCGAGCGTAAGGCGGGCTTTAGTTGGGGGCGTGGCTTGAGTCTTACAGAAGTGCGCGTGCGGAGTACCAAAAAAGCCTTTAGAAAAGGGCGTTACTTGAGCCCCTGCGGAGAAGGGAACGCGGAAAGGATTTTCCATAAGGGGCGTGGTTCATATCAAACGGAAGGTGTGAATGGGGAACTAAGAGTTATTAAGGAGGGGCGTGGTTTGGTCTCAGCCCGGAAGCGAGGGGCGTGGTTTGCCTGTAAGGGGCGTGGCTTGTCCCGTGAGGGGCGGGTGTAAGGGATAGGCTTAATGGCTTCCCCTAACGAAGGGGCGGAACCGTGTCCTAGGTGGATTGACGGCCGTGGCGTCCAATCTCGTTCCGAAGCTCGGCTGGAGTCGGGAGTCTAGGCTCGGGCTCGTCCGGTCGGCCCTCTTAACAGCCGGGTGAGGGTTGAGGACCGGAACCGGAAGCTCCAGCTACGCTCTTGGGCCCGAGCCCCTCGGTTTTCTGGGCTCAGCTCACCCCTTGCATCGCCGGCGGGGGGGCGGGGGAGGTGTCTCGAGTCCTTCAGTCCTGGGGGCGGCGCGGCCTGAGTTCTGGATCCTCCGCCATGGAGCCTGCCGCGCCAGCGCTGACCGAGGAGGACATGGCCGAAGTAAAGAAGGATGTGAGTGGCGGGGGCCGGGCCGGGGCTGGGGCGGGGCAGCTTCGTACCCCAGGGCCCGAAGGAGAAACTCCCAGGGGAGCTGGGCCGGGGGAAGGCCCATAGAAAGGCCCCACCCCCACCCAGGGGGTGGCCCGGAGTCTGGAAGACCTGAGTTCAAATCCAGATTCCGACACTTCCTTGCTGGACAACTCACTGAATGTCTGTTCCTGCACTGTAAAATGGGAATAATAATAATAGCACCTACCTCCTAGGGTAGCTTACGAGGATCAATGAGATAATGTTTGTAATGTACTTAGAACAGTGTTCGGCACATAGTAGTCTTGATAAATACTTCCTCCACCACTGTGCACCCTTATAGCATTGTAGATTTTGGTCGGGCTCGGGGACCTTGGCAGGAATCTAGTAAAATAAATAATAGCTAGCACTTGTATAGAGCTCTAAGGTTTGCAAAGAGCTTTGTCTGTGATGTCATGTTTGATCCTCGTAAGATGGGATCCTGGGAGGTAGGAGCTGTTATTCTCATTTTCAGGATGAGAAAACTGAGGCAGATGGACGTGGTGGCTTGTGGAGGGTCACAGGGTTAAGTGTCAGAGGTCTGATTTGAACTCAGGTCGGCCTGACTCCAGATCCGGCCTTTGCTGTATCCACTGTGCCACTTAGCTGCCGCCTGATCAAAAGATCATAAATCCAGGGCTGCAAGGGATCTCGAGAGGTCATCCAGCCCAGGCCCCCCATTTTCCAGATGAAGGAACTGAGACCCACAGAGATTAAGTGACTTAATCAAGGTCACACAGGTGGCAGAGCTGGAGTTCAAACCCAAACTCTCTGTCTCCAAATCGAATTGTCTTCATGGCCTTTATACTGGCCTAGTTTCACTGTTCTTTGTCAAGTTAGTTCCCAAGGTACCTTTTTTACTTTTGTGTCCACTCTCTCTGAAGCACCAGACCACCCTATTCCTTTTATACAGTAGAAACACGATGGTGCTTAATTGTTGGAGATAGACTCCCAAGCCATCATTTGTTATTAGGATCCTTGAACAGCTTGGCCTGTGCTTTCTGATTCTCCTGATGGTCTTTCCCTTTTCAGTTGCCAGGTAGCTAGCTGACGGGTCAGGGATACTCTCAGTGCTATAGGAACTAAAACCCTCTTGAGTTAATGAGACCTGGCAGCTGTTTCTACACTAGAGCTAAGAATGGGTATTAGAATACCCAAGGTGAAAAATGAAAAAGTCATCCCTCCATTGTGGCAGTAGGTAATGTCCATGGTATATCCCAGATGTGGAAAGGTCTTTATGCCCAGAAGCAAAACTAGCTGACCGAACTAGGAATTCCCCTAAAGAGAAAACTCCTGCCCATTTAAATGAAACCTTCTTTCTAGCCTGGGGAAGAAGAGCAGTTGAATTCATAAAGTTGAGGATAGAAGTATTGCCTAAAAAATATCAATATAGGGGCAGCTAGGTGGTGCAGTGGATAGAGCACTGGTCCTGAAGTCAGGAGGACCTGAGTTCAAATCTCCCCTCAGACCAAACACTTGACACTTACTAGCTGTGTGACCTGGGGCAAGTCACTAAACCCCAATTGCCTCACTAAAAAAAAAACATAAAATACAAAAAAATTTTAAAAATCAGTATTATGACCTCTCCTTCCTGGATGCTATAAAGTAGCATAAATATTAATGCTTAGTTACAATGAAATGTATTATAATCTAGTTCATGTTTATGTTTTTTCCCTTTTTTTTTCATGCAAGTTCTTGCCCTCCTAGATGTCTAAGCATGAGTAATAATTATCCATCATTTTGCATCTTATTGCTTAGAAATGAAAAAGAAAAGCTTAGCAGCCAGCATTCTTGCTGGTCCTCATATAGTATTTGTGCATTGAATTCACGGAATTGTGGAGCTTGATGGAAGCTACTGTATTCCAGCAGTACAGCCTAGCACAATAGTTGGCACATAGTAGGCACTCAATAAATATTTGTTGAAATGTTTTTGATATAATAGATTAGGAAATTGAGGCCCACAGTGGCGGTGACTTGCTCAAGGTCACACAACTGGTTAGAGGCAGATTCAGGACTAGAACCTTGTTTAATGTTCTTTCCCTTACAGTTTGCTTCCTTTGAAGAGATATGCCAGGATTCCTGGGACAAAACGAACAAAGGTTAATTCTGGTGTCTCCTTTCAAGACTAAACTACTTTGTCTGAAGGCCAAAGTATGATTCAGTGCTTTTGACTCACTATAAAAATAACCATGAATTTTACCTGTCCCTTTTGGAGGAAACAATTGGAATTTGGAGCTTATAGAACTACTCTCGAAAGCCTATATTAGTATTTTCGGGTGTCTTAAGATCATAGGTTGGTAGTGACAGAGGACCTAAGAGTTCATCCAGTACAGTCTCCTTCATCTCCCTTTCCCTACAGCCCTTTCCTTCTTCCTTTGGACTTTCATGTCATATTGTAACAGGAAAATAAATCCACAGAATATTTTAGAAGCCTAGGTATATGACCTTATTTTTGCGCATTAGTTTCTGCCAGGTGCAGTGAGAGTACAAAGATGAATAAAAGCCCAGCATTTGACTTTGACCCTTAAAAGGATTTGTTCTGTGAAGTTTGGATTCAGTCGAAAAGCCACACTTGAGGATCTAAAGGGTCATATGTGGCCTTGAGGCCCCCGAAGGTTCCCCACCCCTGCTCCAGAGGTTCACATTTTAGTAGCTGAGATAAGGTAGATATAATAAAAGACAGTAAATGAATGTGTGGTTCTGTTTCAAAGCTTTCATAAAATCATATTTTGAATGTGATTATCCTTAGATCCTTCCCTCTCTGGCATAATTCCCTGTTGTCTTTGACTCTGGCAGGAGGAGCCAAGATGCAGGTCAGAATTGAATAATTAGGTTATAGTGTTCTCTGTGTTGCAAATAATAATAAAAACCCTGTGAATTATTTTAACAAATGTAAACCATCCCAGACTTCAAAGAACTTATAACTTATAAGTTGAATGTTGGGCTTTTATTCATCTCTGTACTCTCACTGCACCTGGCAGACACTAATGTGCAGATATAAGGTCACACACCTGGGCTTCTAAAATATTCTGTGGATTTATTTGTAAATCAGGGAGATGAAACATAACATATACAGATAATTATAGCTTGAGGCCAAATGATATTAAGAGTAAGTGGTCAAAGTTTTGTTTTTGTTCTTTTTTAAATAAGGTATTGTTGTTTCATAGATTTTTTTTTTAAGCCAGTCTTTTACCAACTGTGTTTGATGAGCCTCTCTTAGGATACCCTCTTAGCTGAGTTCTCCTGACATTGCATTCTCCTGGTGGTTCTTGTCTGATTTCTCGTCTGCTCAGTCTCCTTTGCTGGATGATCATCCCAGTCTCACCTCTTAACTGTGGGCGTACTCACAAGGCTCTGTTCTGAATTCTTTTTTTTCCCTCCACATTTTCTCTTACTTGGTGACCTCATTAACCTCCTTGAGTTCAATCATGAAGTCTGAAAAGGACTCCCAGATTTGTGTATCCAGCCCTCCTCCCTCTTTTGAGCTCTATTCCTACTTAACCAGCTGACTAGTAGACATTTTGAGCTTAGTATTCTGTAGGCATCTAAAATTTAAAATGTCTAAAACAGAACTCATCACCTTTTCCACCCCCTCTTGCTAACTTCCCTATTTCTTTCAGGGGTACCACAGTTACACAGATTTGCAGCCTTGATGTCATCTTCAACTCTAAAAACCCTAAAATAATTAATTTCCCATTGAATTAAGAAAACTTCAGTACTGAAATCAGATTTTCTGTGATCTTGATACCGCTTGAGACTTTTCTTAGAAAAAGCTGCAATTAAAGATAAATATAGCAGTTGAATTCCTTTAGTTGAAACAAGTTTCAAAAGAGTGAAAATGTTGTATTAAAATATAACCCCCACATGGGTACTTCAGAAAGTCGTGAGTCATAACATTGCAAAAAAATGAAGCAAGTAAATTTTGGCTTAGGACTTCCAGTTCAAATTTTTTCCTTCTAGAAAAGCATACTCAACTCTAGCAGCCGGTTATGTAGTATATCATTAAATAAAACAGAACCTGTTAGTAGATTTAGAAAACTGTATTTTGTTCAGACCAGACACTTGACACTTACTAGCTGTGTGACCCTGGGCAAGTCACTTAACCCCAATGACCTAAAAAAAAAAACTATTTTGAATAAAAGGTCGCTTTCTGCCTGTTCTTAATAGCAGTTCTGAGAGCCTTTTAGGCTTGCAGAGGAAGAAATTCAACTTCATTATGAAAAGGATTTTGCTGTATGTTTCCAAACCATCTCACCCCCCCAAAAAAATTCTATATTCTCTTTCATTTTAGCTAAAGGTGGGTAGCAGAACCAAGAAGCTGCATTATGTGGCCTGCTTTATCAGATTGTATTGGTGTCCCAGTGGGCAGGCAGACAGGGTAGATGGTATCACCTAGTCTAAGCAGATGGAGTGTTAGCCCACCCTTATTGGTATCCTGACAAAACTGAATCAGGCATAGATGTCAGGTCTATTCACAAACCAAGGACAAGTGATGGGCAGGAAAGTCCGTGCTACAGTTCCCACCTGGGTCTTTATATAATGAGCAGGAAAAATAAGAGAATTTGCCAAAGCTTGTCATTAACATTGACAACTGGGCTATCAGTAATGCCTATTGGAATTCATAAAAGCATCTCCAAGGAAGGGAGATAAGTCATTAGTGAACAAAAAAAACCAAAATGGTATCAAGTTCTGTTTGGTATTTCCTGTAGGGTGTTTATTCTCTTTGCAGGTGAATGCCATGCTGAGTCTGGGTACTTCTGATGAGATTCCTTTACCTGCTTGAGTCTCTTATAGAATTCTGCTTTGATAGCAATCTGTCTTTATTAGAACTATATAAGGGAGTGGATGATGTTTGGAAAAGGTGTGAGAGATCCTGCACCAACTAGAATCATCAGAATAAGTAGAATTAGTTGGACATAGAAGAGGGATATAAGGTGAGGGAATTC